TTTTTTTTTTAAAGTTCTTCAAACCGAGACTTGCGCCCTTTGTGGCCTCTTCGACGATGTAAACCTGGCATTTATTAATTATCCACCATTGAACAAAAACCCGACGACCTTGCCAGTGGCTTCTTTAACCGCTTGATGAGCGGGCGATGATGGCAGATGAAAGACTCGGTAGATTGAAAGATTGAAAAAAAAAGAAGAAGAAGAAGAGGGGAATATCAAAACGCAGAAAATGGCGAGAGAAAAAAAATTTTTGAAGAGAGATGTCCGATGCCAATCGTCAGATCATTAACGTCCGATCAGACATCCGGCTATCGCGATAAATGGTAATTGAGCTCTTTGATCTTTTCATTTGAGAAATAAAAAATAAATATGTTCCCATAAAAGGATTGAGTTCATTTGAATTTTCTTTTTTCCCTCGCATTTCCCGCACCTCGACCCGCGAAAAGCTGAATACGAGACACTTTGTATTGGCGGTATTTTTTTTTTTCTTTGTCGCGATTACAATGAAGATCAAATGAGAATATTTGTTTGAGAATTAAACGTGTGGGAAGAGCGTTGAGTTAACAGAAAAACCGCCAATCTCTCGTCTTCATTGTGTTATTCATTGTTTGTGGTTGTTGAACCCCTGGGAAGAGCCTCAAACACACCGTTATGAACACACGACTTCACTTGGTAATTAAAATGGAATGTGTCGGGTGATATTGAACATTAAAACGCGTGATAAAAGCCCTAAACAGATGTTGAAGTGAAATTTATCCTCAAAGAAATGGAATAAATGATAAAATCCCAAAGATACAATTGAAAACTCATTCACTGCACTCCCCGAATTTATTTAACGTGAACAATTCCACCTCAATTGAATAGTAAAAAAATTTTTTAAAGTTTTAACAATTATTGACGAATCATTGAATTTATCGAATTTTCTGGTAATTCTGGTAATTTATTTAAGCAATTGAAATTTCATTTATCGTAAATTTTCAGGGAATGCATGATGTCGGACTTTTTCCCATAATCTCTAGATTTATCTTATCCGTTTGATATTTATATCTCGATTTAATCGTATACAACAATGCAGTTTATATACTTCCATTGGGGGGTACATAGAATCGACACCTCGTTAATGGTTGTGCCACCATGTCACTGCAAATGGTGATGCGCTAGATTTCCTGTGGGAATTCCCCACGTCACTGAATATTGAATGAACACGAGGTAATAGGGTAGAAAACCGCCAGTTTCTGAACAACGATTTTATCCATTTTTTTCCTCAAAATATCAACGAGATTTAGACTCACGAAATTTTAGTCTCAATCCCTAATCTCAATTTTTAATTACACGAGTAATTGAATGAGTTGAAATCAATTTCAATTAAAAACAGTCATTGAATTTTCCATTTGTCTTAAGAATTAAAGAAAATTGGGGTTTTCATGTTAATTGAAGATTCTACAGTGTCCTATGTACCGCAAAATAAATAATTACCAGAATGCCGTCAAAAAAATTAATAAATTCGTCAATAAAGAATTCTCTAGAAATTCCATTTAATTTCAACTTTGAAGTTGCTAAAAAAAAGTCAGATTCGTTTACTCAAACGTTCAAGCAATGAAAGCGAGCGAGTTTATGAAAAGCAAAGATCGACCGAAATAATTGATCTTTTATGGCGAAAAAAAAAAAAGTGAAGATTATAAAAGAGCGCCGAAAGACACGTCTGTCAATAAAATCTGGCATTCATTGGCTATGAAAACGATGGCCCCCTTTTATAATTCCATTGTGAACACAAGAATCTGTTGTTCATGCACATAAAGCGAGTGAAATCAATGGAACGCGAAGCTGACTTGACTGTGGCACTGATTTTGTATAACTTTAATGTTTGCTGGTCGGTGCGTAGTAGCTCGTGGAAAATACACCTCGAATTATCTGTGAATCGTGTGCACACGCGCTCAGCTAAATTTAAACTCAACTCCGCCATTCTCCTCTCACCCATCCTCACCCACACCCACTGCATCACTCTCTTTCACTCGTAATTTTCTATCTCTCTTACTCTCATCGGTACGTACATATCCCCAAGCGTTTACCTGGACTCTAATTACTTCAAGCGCCACACATACAATGCATGATACACTTGTGTACTCGTCCCTCAATGAAAATTATCTTCATTTAATTTTACTCAGCGACCGAATAAATTCAACCAAAAGGTGAAAGACTCGCAATGAAATTTTCTCACTAATAAGATATCTCACTGACAATGTCTTTGGGATATTTAATAAAGATATTTCAATTGATATATGATTATCCAATTAATCATGATGAATTTTAATGAGAAGAGAGACTTGAAGATTGAAGAAAAATGAGAAATGAAAAAAATTGTGAACGATTATTGATCTTCGGGATATTTAATTTTGATATGTCAATTGAAATAGAATTATTGAATTAATCACGATAATTTGTCGATCAATTTTGGGAGTTAATTAGAAAATCTGAAAATCTTTGTCGAATTTTAGAATTTTAGAGTCGATCACAAAAATTCCAGAAATTCCTTGAAAATTCAAGGGATTAATTAAGAATGAAGAATTTAATTCCCCCCAAATGCCTCTTTCCTAAGAATGTCAAATTTTCATCGCTTGAAATATCAACCCTAATTCTTCAAAACTTCAGATAAAGTGATGACAATTCAAGTGATATATTCGGTGGTGTATTATCCCGAGTCGCTAGGAAGTGCCTATTGTTAAAAGAGAAGCGCGTATTCAGGGCGCGTAGAGAATTCATCCAAAATCGTAAGGAAAAGGAGAGAAAAATCCTGTCAGAGTTGAAGAGCTAACGGGCAACGACTCTTGCCATTTCAAATGGCTTTTCTACGTGCCTATATCCATCATCCCCCAGCTCGAAAAACTGTACCGCCCAGTGGTATAGAAAGTTTAGCTTGTCATCTTGCCAACACTATCAATAATCATTTTTTCCACTTTTTTTTTCCGGGTATAAAAAATAAAACCGATTGAATTACTTTTCACTCACTTTGTCTGAAAGCCCTCGAACTCCTCCTGCTGCTCGCTGATGGAAGCTTCAAGATCTAGGTAGGCACCATAATCGCCATCCTTGTAAAGTTGAAGCGCTGTGTCATCCAACTGAAAAATACATTTTTTCAATCTATTAGACAAATTATTTTCCAAATTATTTTCCACCTGTCGCACATACAAAGGATAATTACAAAAATTCATCAAATTCAATTGCATCCACAGTAATTTTGTATTCTTTTCATCATTATCATTATCCTCATGCAATTTATAAATTACAGATTCAGTTAATTTTTCAAAATGTCATGGGAGTAAAAATTACGTCACGTCGAGGGAAAATTGGAATTTAACTGCAAATATATATATTTAACGGGTATTGGTGATTAATATATCTATGTACCCTTTCCACATGATTACAAATTGTCGAAAATGGATGAAAAGACGGGATTATACTTTGTCAAAGTGGTTTCTATGTCCCGGAAACCGTAAATCAAAAAGTCACAGCGACCGCAAATTGCACGTTGCAACTCCGCCCTCTCAGTCCTTCAACAGTTGAGTTTTTACATTTTCTCGTGGCCGGTGGTCGTTTGTGACAATCAATCAATTTCTTTCAATCGTACGATCGTAGCAAACGGCATTGATCAATAAAAGTCCAATAAAATTTAAAAAAAAAAATTTAAAAAAATTTCGTCACTTCCGTAAACCATTCGACATATTAAAAATTAAAAATTCATCCGAAAATCTATTCTCCGAGGCCGCATCAAATCACTAACTAATGGAATAATTTATTACCCTGATAATTCGATGAGAGAAATTTCGAGAGGTGAGCAACCTCTGCATATAAAAATAAAACTGTCGTGTCTCATCTTTCAGCTGCTTGCATAATTCGTCGGAGAAAAAGAGTCCTCGGGTTATTTTAAGATTTAAATTACCAATGTTTCAAAATTTCTGACATTACATTACAGAAATTATTGCCGTCAATAATGAAAATACACTGTTTCGGTTTTAAAACGGTGAAAGAGTGTAAATAAATTATGACCAACGTCAATCAAATTGTCACTTGAATAATTACTGTTTCAAAACAAAATTTCTGAAAATTAGTACGGATAATTCCAATATTTTGTAAAGTGCACGAGTCTAAAAGTAACTAAATGGAAAATACGAGGGAATCTACAAATTTAGCGAGAAGATGGAGGGGGATTTTTAAATTTGGTTTTAGAGACTCAAGAGGCACTTGGAGTTTCTATATAGAACGAGGGAAAGACCCAAATGGTGACCCATATTTCTAAAAATTTCAGTTTCAAAATAGTTGGCTGGCAGACTGCATATAACAAGACTGTAACGACTTGAGCGATTTTGAGCTCGTGTCCCAAATGCATTCCTAGACGAAAAACCTCAAGATTTACGGTCAACTTGTGGGCCAATTTTTAATTGAAGAATCTATCCCCCAAAATTTCTCCGTTCTATCAACTTTCTATGAATAATAAAACAAAAATTTTCAGTTTTCATTAATTTCTCCACTATAAATCAATCAAATCAATGAAATTTCAATATAAAGAATTCCATTAAAAATCCTATTCATTTCTGGAATAATAAATTAATATTTCTGGTCGATTTGCAACTTAACTTTAGATCCAAAAATATATTATGATCAATTTCTAATTTTCAATGGGTCTCCATGAGAAATTAATGAAATCAATGAATTTTCAATGAAAGATATTTTTTAAGATATTGAATTAATTCTTGGAATAAAAAATTCACCCCCAACGGATTGAAAAGGTTCTGAATTTTCTTCCTTCTCACATTTATTGGAAATCACTAGAAATTTCATGAATCTCGGAATACAACATCTTACTCCCCCACGCGAATTCATTCCAGATGTTCTATTCCCCGCGGATAAAAACCACTGATTTGATTTAAATCGCATTGGATTTTTTTTTCATCCACTTCTTGTCGTGACCAAGAGGGAAGATACCGTTACGTAATACATATTCGAGTCTCCCTTACACCACGGAGACAGAGAATGCAATGACTCTCTGAGATTCACCGTTTTTTGAAATGAGGTCAACCACGTTTTGCTCACGTCAAATTACAATTCAAATAAACAATGCATGAACCCGCGATACCGAAATGGAGAAGGTTTAAATAAAAAAAAAACCAGAACCAACACAAATGCTACAGCGAATGAAAAAAAAAGGAAAAAAAATTGAACGAGAAAACTAGCAACAATTTTTCGCTGACGCTCACGCCGTTGCATTGAAATTGCAAATCTTGAAATGAAATTTCTTTGTCCGCACATAGAGTTCTTTCATATTTAGGTCACACTATGTACATGAGAAAAATTCCATACGAATTGAATGTATTTCATGAAGTATTTCCCCCGTATTACGCGTTTCCGTCTCTATATTGAAAAAACTTTTCGTGTTACTTATGAATATTGAATGTTCGGTGGAGTGTAAAAATTTTTTATTCAAAATTTCAAAGTCGAATGTTTGGAAAATGATGAATCACTGAGTAACTAGTGCAATAACCGGTGCTAGAGAATTAGACAAGCCGTAACTCACGATAAAACATGTCACAATAATGATTGCTCGAGTGATTAATAAACAACCCCTCATTGTTATTATACTTTCATCCACCAAAAATAAACGGATTTCAACCCGAGGATTTATCACAGTTGTGCATTTATCGTCGAATGTACTCGGTTAACCGAGGATTAATTTGTTATTATAACACAAATGCTCCTGTATAACCAGTCTAACGGTTGGGTTATAGAGCTTGTACAATAAATCACGGGTATCATTTTCCACACGGATAAACCAGACTCCTGGAATTATCAGTCACCTTGGCCCGATAACGAAAAAATAAATATTTCAATAATAATTTTTCCATTAAATGTTCCAATGAATGGACACTATGAAAACGTACAAACTCACGGTGGAAAATAATATTAATTTTATCTTCAATTATAGTTGGCGCTTAGTTACATTAACGGAAACGGAAAACCGATTCAACTTTTAGTGGACCAATGGGAAAACGTACGTATGAATTTCGGTGAATTGAATTACCCTGGGATAATGATGAGATGGGGATTTCGGGGTGAGATTTGCATTAGAAATTTGATACTTCTTGATTGCTGTATCACTTGCATTTGAAACCATCAAAAACAAATCTGTGACCACAAAATTATTATTATTCAATTATTAATTATTATTTAATAATAATTATTAAATAAGATTATTCAATTATTTTATATTCAATTAGATCAATAGAACCAATATATTCAATATATCGACTTTAATCTTTGAAAAAGTCAATTAAATATTTTTTTAAATATCCATAATATTAAAAAAGCAAATGGTTTTCATAAACAATTTCGTTACATCAGTCATTTTTTAAAGAGAGAAATAAATAAAGATAAAATATGGAGTACTTGTTGAAAAATCATTATCTCAGGGGTTAATTCCTCCCCAATCGATTGAAAAGTTGAATAATTTTTTTTCCCAGTGGAATCCTCACTTTTACATTCTATTTTACTTTCTGATCGTCTCTAAATACTCGTTCTAGTGTTACTTGCGCTAGTGGCCGCGTTCAACCGTGAAACGAGAGTTAAAACGAAAAGGAACGCTAAGGAAAATACAGTATACATATATAACACATATATAAAATTTCTTGTGTTAAGGGAGGTAGAGGGGACGTGCGTGATACGTCACCCATATAATCGTCGAACCGAGTCTTCCAGAGATGCAACTGGAGCACACCGGTTTTAAGCTTGTCTCAGTGTTGCTGCAAGGTACGATAATACGATGCGCAATCTGGGAGGGATCGATACTCAAACCCACCAGTTTAATATCACGAACTTGTTAAATATAAAGTACACGAATAACAATTCGCAGGTATCATACCGAATGTAGATTATTAATCATCATTTGTTATCTAATCTCAAAGTGCGCGGATATTTAATAAACGGATCATTAATGCGAAAGATTCATTTAATGTTTGTAATCTTAATGAAATTTTACCGGATGTCTACACCCATATTATTAACATGCGATTGTCTGATTATATTTGATATGAATAAAGAAAGATCAATCAGCTGATTGATTAGATATTTTTCATTATGGGTGGCACATTGTT